ATTGACAGTGTAGTTTCCTGGAAGTACTGCTTGCTGTTGTCCACCATTTGCAAACTGGAATTTCCAGTAGCACTTGTACTTCTTGTCATTGTCATTGGTGGTACTAGTACCAGTATGTGTAATATTGATTGCTTGTGGCATTCCAGCAAAGACCTCAGGCCCTTGGACAATGGCCCAGAGAGTGATCAGATGGCAGTCTTGAAAGGATCGGGAAGTGGCAGGATGGACATTGAAGATGAGAACAGCATTTTGGGTGCCTAGGGCTGTCAGTGTTAAATTGTAGTAATGGTATAGGTGGCCCACGCCCCGCATCTTCCAACGGGCGTGGATTTGGGCGTTGGCATAGGCTTGTTCTCGGGACAAGACAAATTCTGTGGCTGCCTCGATGAGATCTTGATCAGGCCCCACCATTAATAGATCTATAGGTACCGGTACATGTAGTTTGTCTTTGATATCTTTTAATCCAAAGAATACTTCAGTACTAATACCAGAACCAAAACCAAAAAATGGTACCGGGATCACCAAACACATCAGCAGCAATCCACACCATCTCTTTTTATGCTTACAATTGCTGATGGCCTTGGTCTTTGCCTTTGCTGTTGCATCACGAGTGCGAGTGACAGTCCACTGCTTCTTGTAGCGTTCCTTTGGCATGGTACCAGGTACCGGTACATACATGTAGATAAACGAGTGGATTATATTAGAGATGAGATGGGCTACCCATGCTATGCTCGGTAGCAGAGGACGAAATAAATAATGAGAAAAGATCTCTTCGATTCGATTCTGATTCGATTCGAGTTGACTGTGACTCGACTCGACTCGACGGATGACTGAATGACGTACCGTACATTCGGTTTTGGTCCATGGATGGTACGTAGACTACAGCGCCAGTACAGTGTATATCTGTCCTGCCCAAATCCTACTAGCTAGCTAGTATCATGGTCTGTTGGGTCCTACCAGCACCTACCGTACAAGTGGTACAGCCGTACCATCTTTGGTTGTCAAGGAGCTGGAGCCACATGGGGGTGGTGGTTGGTCAAATGCTACCGGTAGTACCCTGCCCTCAATACTACCGTAGCTAATACTAGTAGAGATTTTGATGCGAAATACGGTACATACATGTACTATCGGTAGTTGTGGGTTGGGGACCGTGCAAGGGAGGCAACTACTAGTAGACTAAACCCGTACGGTACCAGTACGTACCGGTACCAGTACCCATGTGTGTCGGCCGCTCATTGTGGCATGGGCGTGATCCAATACGGCAAGCTCCGAGTCACTGCGACGATGAGACGACAACCCAATGGACGTGCATCGGAGAATCTGATTTCTTTACATTCGAACATTACCGATATTGTACCCAAGCATCCAACTTGCAGCATCTGTGCCACGCCGGATGCTGCGACCACGAGGCTTCCCCAAATTGACCACGAGAGTGGCGCTTGCTTACTTCGTGGTGGGCGTGCAACGTTTAACGCAACGTTGCGTCAAATCGCACAGGCCGATCTAATCTCAATCGCATCGAGCTGTGAGTCGTCGTTAGTTTAGCTAGACCTGGATCGCGATTCGATTCATTCTTCGGGTATTTCGTGCGTCGTTCGACACCTCCACCGCTGGAAACATCCACAGCTATCTAGCTACAGTGTAGCTAGCAACGGTTGTTTCCTTGTTACACGTCAAGAACACAAAACCCACAAGTCCAGGCGCGTTGGGCGCCAGCATGGACATACCGGCACTGTCAGCCTACATCTCAAAAAGATCTACTCTATTCAAACACACCCACCGTCCTAGGTTCGCGACCGTCCTTATTAGCTATCCCGTGAAGGGCATGCACCTGGGAGGCGTGGGTACGAGACGTGTGCTTGCACGAGATCGGACAGCGCAGGTTGTTCCTGGAAAGAGCAACGAGAAGATCTCTCAGCGGAGGCCCAGGTCGCAGAAAATGGGAAAGTCTGGCAACGAATAGTAGTATCTTATTATGTATTTAGCAGCCACTGCATTGGCTAGCTGTCATTCCGTTGTTTCACGCTCACACCTCGAATTCACGTCCTAGAGCAGTGCCTTGCGTTTCATCACCTCGACCAGTAATATCACTATCATGGTTGATGTGCTCGTTGGCAACCACTCCTCCAGCACCGACTATTGTCAATCCTGCCAGGTCATCCGGTAAACTGCTGTGCTGAGGAGCATTCTCAGTGCTGCCACTGGCATGACTCATGTCATTGTCCATGTCCATATCCGAACCAACCGTTGTGTCTCCAAGGGTCAACCCTGAAACAACCGACCTGGCCTTAGATGTTGTGTCTACAAAATAGGTCTGCAAAAGCCCCTTGCCTTTAGCTTGGACTTTGTCTGGACGTGGTGTCAACCACACTTCCTTGCCCTTGGCACGGAGAGCATCAGCTGTTTCCTGCGAGACATGGATGCGATGCGGTAGGCCATTGGATTCCATTCGAGATGCCGTGTTCACCGTGTCACCTGCGAGTGTGAAAAGGAGAAAGGA